ATTATTTGATTGGCTGTTGGTCACGTGAACACACCTGGCTTTAGACGACCCCCTTATTTGGGACGGTCCCTCCTGTTATACTATATATGGACAATAACTTGGCATCGATAAATTTAGGTCGATTACAAAGAAATCATTCGATTAAGTCTTAATTTTTAGAATTAACCATTTAAATCTGACTGTTGATTCATTGCCTGCTCTCGTCTTTCAATCCATGAAATTCTGTCAGCTGAATAATTCACGTTATGTAATGGTAAGCATTAAATTCGTTTAATTTGTCTACTGCATTGTCACTAAGTTTTTTACTCGCACAGCGAATTAGGCGGATTGGTGGCTTCGTCCCAAGATGCTGGTTTAATCGTGCGTTTCACGGGTCTTCGCGTATAATGATTGAACAGAAGAAAGAATGTCGCATTTTTCCTACAACCCCGATTTCAGAATTACAAGATAGGCCTTTTCCAAAAACGTCGGCATGTTTAGTTATAGGTGATGAAATTCTTGAAGGAAAGACTGTTGATTCAAATTCCGGATTTTTTGGTATGCACCCCAAAATCTTATCGTGCACTCAATATATTTTTGATCAACATAAAATTGATAAACTCTATTCATGCGTTATTATTGACAATTCAGCAAAAGTTTGTTTCAATCTTGGGATCTCTTTGAAAAGAATTGAAGTAATTCCGGACAAGGAAGAGGTACTGATTATTATTATTATTATCGGGGATGATGCTGAAGTCGGATGATGCTGAAATTTGGGGTCTTAATTTGACAATATAAACCCTACTAAAATCCACCTATACTCTTTTATTATAAACACTGACCCTAAATTCTAATCGAACTATAAAAAAAAAGCTGATCAAAACACCCCAAAAAATTTTAAATTTTCATAATAAAATAAGTCAAAATTTCAGCATCATCCCCGACAATTATTATTATTATCATTGCTATTATTTTATTGATACTAACTTTGTTAATAGGAAATAATTGAAGCTGTAAGACGTTTTAGCAATAATTATGACTTTGTCATTACTAGTGGCGGCATTGGTTAGTCACTTTCAAATGTTTAATTGTTTGATCCCCTGAAGTTTAATAAAGATATTATTTAGGACCTACTCATGATGACATCACGTATCTATCAATCGCTCGCGCATATAATCTTCCGTTGATTTATCATCAACCAACGTTAGACAGGATGGGTGACACGGTACAAAACATACCATCTCACTTGAAAAAATTGAAGTCAATGCCAACGAAAGCAATGATAGAGGCAAAACAACGAATGGCACTATTCCCACATCCATCTCGTGTTATTTTCCCTGATGAAAAACTGTGGATTCCTATAGTTATTGTTAATGAGAATATTCATATCTTACCTGGTGTTCCAAAACTATTTAAAGCATTGCTTACTGGATACAGTAAATATATTAAAGGTGATAAATTTGTCAGAAAGTTTGTTAAAACATATTATCCAGAGTCATTTATTGCCCCAATATTAACGGAAGCTCAAGAGAAAGTAAAAAACTTTGATGTTAAAATTGGTAGTTATCCTGAAATGACGGACGATGATAAGTATGTAGTGGTAGTAAGTTTTTTAGCCAAAGATAATACTGTAACTACAGAAATTGTTGAAAAAATTTCCAAGGAAGTTTCTGAAAAATTAGATGGCGTGATTGTTGATTAATAGAGTCAATTTACCATAAATAACAAAATCTAAAGGCTTAAATTATGCAAGTCATATAAAGTTCCAATATTTAGAGATACATTTTAAACATAAGAACTAAGCAGCAAAAAGCTATCAGGTTATAGTAATGTAAAATTATTAAGGTTTAATTTAAATGTTTATTAACAAAATACGAAGTTTTAGTAACGGTAAGCTGCTAATATAAATCACCAGGTTGTATTCACTTTATCATATGTAAGGAATTTTATCAAAATGACTGAAAAGGTACGAACCCTAAATTACAGATAATTTCCCAACTTTGGGTAAGTTTTCATTGATTTGGGCTAGCGAAAAGGCTTAAAACTCATTTCTCCCTCCTTTTTTTAATATATATAATAAAATATAATTTGGTAATTTACTTGATAATTACCACTCACTTACCACAAAGTTTTTGCGGATTTCGACCTTGAACAATTATTAGTCTTGTATTTGACACCAATCTTTTAATAAAAATTGTTTATACTAATTCTTAATAACTAATCATGCTAATTATTTAAATATCTTCTATTATTATCTTTCTATCACTGTAAACAATAGCATTGAATTTCCCAGATACACCTCTATCCCAAGTTGAAAAAACAGTAATATATCCTACAATAGTAATAAATATTAAATAACCTAAAACATTTAATAATTTAAACAAAGTTTACAGTTCAATTAAACATCCTACCTTCATTATTATGTGGCAATGTTACATCACCTGTACAAACTCCCTAATTGAAATATATTATAAGATTATTAAACATTCATCAATATTTAGAATTGAATAAAGATAATTACTTGAGGAAAGTTTGCATAAGGTCCTGAATCTCCAACTTCATTGCCCAAAAATTTGGTTGGATGTTTTTCATATATTTTAACACCAAGCATTGGCGATGGTTTTATATCAGGGGTTTGAAGCCGAATTCTAAAATAAAGAAATGATTATCAAATGTAACAATTCAATTGAAATTCTCTAATTACTTGCACCTACTTTATAGTAGACATTTCCATAACTTTTATGTGGTAGCATGGATTTTTATTATAGTCAGTATTATTAACACAACCCATTGCATTCACTCCCTTTATCCTACAAATTTATATCATTTAAGTAAACTAGATCAATAAATCATTAAAAACCAAATTTACCGACCATTCGCCATGAATAGCTCTTCTGAATAAGCCCTAACAAATATAATACATTAATAGTCAGAATATCTATAAGTTATGCATAGTATGTATACCTTATCATATAACTTACTGCGCCTTCAAGGGGTATCGAATTTAAATTAAATTTAACGTTCGACGCAACGGTTAAAACATAATCACCAACAAGACCAGCTTCAAATGTTGAAATAACGATAGTATAATCGCCAGCTAAATAGATCAACAGATTTCTTATCAAAATTTCAAGCAGTTAATTCCTAAAGGTAGTTACAGATTTGTTTTGTCAAGCTTACGCAGTATATCCTCCATTTCACAATAGCAAAATCCACAACGATAACCAATAGACTGAACAAGAATATCTTTAGCCAAAACGCTTAATAAAACAAATAAATTTCTTAACACAAGTGTACTGAATAAATAGAAATATTACATCAAGATTCACTTTAAATTACCTTGTGATTCTTTTACCATTACCCCGGACTAATTTAACATGAATTGCATACTCTTTCGGCCCTTTTAGCATAAGCTGTATCCGTATTTTTTCCATGGATGAGATACAACTTGGCGGAGTTATAGATAAGCGATATTGTGGATTGTTTAAATATGTGATTTCACTCGGATTTCCTCCTGCAGTTTGTGTGGTCCATTTACCAACTACCTAAAAATAACAAAGTTAGATAAGATAAACTATTTTGTAGTGATTTGATGAATAATTTAGGTTAAACAAACTTGTTGTTCAATTGGATAATTTGTTTGAATTTCTGTTAATTTGAATTGTGACTTGCAATAGCATTTTAAAGTAAACTCCAAGGATTTCATTTCTGGATTTTTGTCGACTTCTTGACCGTCTACCACAATAGTGTATCGACTTATTCCAGATGGTGCATCGAAACGAAGCTATGGATATATAGCTTGTTAAAGCAAGTGTAAATAATTTAATATTTGGGTGGCTTCAAGAGAAAA